GATACGGATTCTAAATCTTTTTGGCAGCAAACTGCTTTGACGAATGCCAGATCACACAGCCTAATTTCTCCAAAGATGGTGGAGCCAGCGCAAGCCGCTGCTAATCCTAAGTCCTCAATCCTAGACCTAGACCCTGAGCCCACCTTCAAAACAATAAACCTGGCAAGCTCTCCATACTCCATACGAAGGCAGCCCTACTGCCACGTTGACTACTCGGCTTGTATGGTCCCCATCCCTTCCCAATCTGGACTTCACAAGCCTCACACAGAATTTCAGCTTCCACGTAGCTGTCAGGCTTCTTCTGGTTTTGATGCTTGCCCCCGAAACCTTCCAGGACTTATGGGCCAGTAGCCAGGTTCAAACCCAATAGCCACTTCTCAGAACATGGGCATCCCTGACCTCTTAGCCTCGCACGTTGCAGTCGCTCTGAGGGTGAAGGAGATGAGGTCACCGGGATGTACTCCGAGATCATGGGGGTCATATCCTGAGCTGGGAATGCACCCAAAAAGCTGATCCCCAATCAGAATCTGGATCTCACCGTTTTGGGGAGTACATCGAGACACCGTTTGGGAGTCCTATCCTGAGCAGAGAATTTGGGCTTTACAAAATCAATTTCCAAAGTTGACGGGACTGAGAGAGCCCTGTATACAACAGAAGCGACCCGAAACAGGTAGGCCACTTCAATGCGCTCACGAGCATGCATGATACACTTTGACTGAACCGTTGCTGAAATGACATGGCGCTTCTGTTCACAAAAACAGTCGAAGGAAGCTTGCATCTGCTTGCGTGTTCCAATGCGGCCATATGCCCAGTGCTCTTGCTTATTGTGCTTCTGTGACAGCGCCACAACCTCCACCACCCGCTGCAGCTGCTGTCGTCACCACCAAACAACCACCACCACCACCGCCGCCGCCACCACCACCACCACCACCACCGCCACCACCACAGTAGAAACTACCATCGCGACAGGAGCAACAGCTGTTTCCAGGTTACACGTTGGTGCCTTGCAGTCTGAGAGTCTGTAAGCATCGTCGTGCTACGCTGGCACTCCGGTGTGGGCTCGGATGGGATGGTGCTGCAGTCCGACAAGGTCTCAGGGCCCGCTCTGGCTGCATTTATGTACAACGCTGGGACAGCTCAGGGCTTGGGCTTTTCAAAGCTTGGATTTTTATTTCTGCAGGGCAGTTGAGCCACCATGACAACCTAAATGCTGGGTTGGTCAGGATGCTTAAGCACCTATGGTGAAGTGACATTGGACTCCCACCATGAGAGTTGATGTCTCCAAACCAGCCTGCTTCCACTGACCGGTGAGGAATTCCTGCGAGGCTGCCAGGGGAACCACACGTTGTATTCAAGCTTGATTTTTTTAGTTAAGTCCCAACCAGGCCAGGCTACTGAACGACTGGACACTTGCCCCTTGTGTCCCTGCACACACATCTCTATGTCAAAACTTGTGCCGCCACCGAACCCGGGATCACAGCAAATGTACGATGTTGCGGTACATTGGTACTAGCTTTACTGTTGACACAGCTGCTACCAGATGCTACGTGCGTAAGTCATCAAAGAACTGCCAAGTCTGTTTGTCATGCTTATTGTCATGATTTTTCGTGCTTATTGTCTATCACTAGTCATGCCAAGTCCCATTACTCCCCCCCGCTCACCCAAACAGATCCGCTGTCCGGAAGGCAGCTTGGGTCATCCCTCGGAGAAATGGCAACTTCATCCTCGAGGCTGCGAGGCTTAAGCATAGGGACCGATGGCCAGGGCTTTGGGCCTGAGAACAGTAGAAAGATGTCGAAGATGGACAACCACGTCATCAGAAATAAAGGAAGTCTACAGCGGAAAGATGAAAATAGGATCATGTTTGTTCTCACTGCAGTGGTTAACAAATTCTGGGAACTCGAGGCCCGGCAAATGATGACAACAGCGAAAAAAATACGCATCAATGATTGCGAGCGCCATGGACATCCATCGGCAGAGTCACAATTATGGCAGTACCAGGCGCAACACCCAAAAGAGCAGTGCGGCATCCGCACTGGCAGCGGCCAGCAGAAGAAGAATGCAAACACTCCAAACCGCAAAGCCTCAGAAACCCGTACTGAGTCAATCCTGACAGACAATCTAGCAACCGTCCGAGTGCTGGGGCTTGATGATGTCAAACTAATATACAAGTCGTCCTTATTGCGGGTAACATCCAAGAAAAAGAGAATCAACAACGCGTCAAAAGCTCCAGCCTTTGAAGTGTCTTGGTATTGATATCCTTACATCATCCCTTGTAACTCCAATTCAGCCCTTTCTCTTTCATGCGATCTTAAAGGATGCCCGTCCGGGCCTGGAAGGCGCTCCGCTTGCTGCTGGGTGTCTGAGGTAGCTGCACCTGTTGGGGATGTGTAGCTTTCTCAATATGAAGAGATTACAGGCGGATTATGGCTGATCACTCTTAGGCAGGCTTATCTTTACATGAATCCGAGAGCAGCTACTTAAAGGCCGGCTTAGATCTGCAATGACGTGCCCAACATGTACGCCAGCTTCAATATCAAAGCCTGCCCGATACACAGCAATCTCAAACTTTGTCACAAAGATCAATTGAAACCTTCTAGAGCAAATCCGTTTCTCTGTTTCAAGGTCTCCCGTGACGGGAGTCCAGGCATTTTAGAGGTGCTCTCATATATATATATATATGCTACTCAAAAATGAGGAGCACCTGCGTAGGCACCCACCCGATTTCTTACGAACCCGCTGTGAACCCACCACAACAACAAAAACACCTACACTTCCAACCCTACTCTACATCCCCAAACCTAGCTTTCGGACGAATGTCCATATCGCCATCCTTCCTTTTGGAATCTCGGAGCCGTACAGGAGAAGGATTTAGGGAAGAGGTCAGGCATCAGATTTTCTCAGAGCAGGGCTCTCCTTCTGATAGGAGCTTTGTTGTTGAGCCTCCTCCCAACGAAGCAAAGCCCCCTTGTGCTCCGAAATTTCCAGATGCCCCTTGATCATGATGACATTCGAGCACTACTGTCACTCTTGCTGTTGCTGTCACTGCAATTCTTGCCTTTCCTGCAACTGCCACTACTTTCCTTTTTCAGACATGCATGACACCAAATATCCCCTACCAGAATGCAGACACCACGACAAGGTCCCCAAGCGATGGATTCGGGCAGCGTGGCGTCTCACCTGCAATCCCATACAAGCCTTGTGAGACCACGTTGAACTCTAAATCCCAATTCTAGTCCCCAATACCCACAATGTAAAGACACCTCACTTGAAGAGCCTCATCTTCCACACATTTGGCTGCGAAACAGCCGAAGCAAGCAGGCCTCAGTCACGCAGGCACCAAGGCCCGGACAAGGACTAGAGATCCTCCAATATACGAAACCCTACAACCGCAAGAGAGGATCCATGCGTGATTGTGGTCAGTATTATGCTGAGCCATGCAAGGGCCAATGCGATTTTGAAAGGGATTTTGGAAGGGACCCGTGCTCCTTGCCGTTTTTGATGAGTGCCCGCTCCACTGAACAGTAAACAGGCACCTTCAGCAATTTTGCCAGGGGACTCCTGGATGTTTGCATGTGTCTAAGTGTAAACAGATATGTGTGCATATGACGTATCACGTTTGGCCACAATGACTGCCCATGTGTGTTCGTCTTCCAGGCCATCTATGCCCACGGTAGAAAGCACTGGTTGCACAAGTACAACAAGCCTTCAGCTATGAAATGGATGTTTCGGAAAAAGCACAGAATCAGTCCCAGCCAAATTGTAAGTTTTCAGGTGGGTTGGGGCCTCCTCCCAATGGAATTCTGCGGCGAAGTGATGCCGACGGCCAGTAAAATAACCCTTTCCCCGAACTTGTGGGCAGCATATTAGGATCCAGCTGCATGGTGGCGCAAACAGAACACTAATGCACCGTGAGTCAGGCACTGTGAGGAGTTCGCAAACTCTTGGCCTCCGGATATACCAAGATTCCATGTGAGTGCACGGGTGAAGCGACTCGAAGAGTTGAGTCTCTTTCCATAAACATAAACGACCTTTATACAATGCGTTCAATGTTGCCAAAGGCGAGGAGCCAAGAGACCTACGCTTTTGAGAAACTCCTAACATTCCCTGTGGTGAAGCTACCATCCTGAAAAGCCACCACATGATCTCTTCACCAGGTCCCAAGCTTCAGCTGCATGGCGGCAGATGGTGCAGCTAGGGACGAATCGCACGGGTTCAGCAACACTCTTGGATGCCTTTGAAGGTCTAGCTGAATCACTCAGGCACAGTTTCAATCATCTGGGAGTCTCTGGCGTTCTGCTATGTCAGGAATGGCCTTTTGGATCAGGAAGATGCGTGCTCAGCTGAGGTTGCTTGAGCTGAGTGCCGGCGGAATTGGGCAGATCATGTACCTTCGACATAAGTGTTGCCTATATACGCCGTGTAAGATTACGAGCCTGCTAGCGGGACCCAGAGAAGCTATCAGTAGAAGAAGTCTGCAAATGCCCCAGTCTTTAGCACATGCCAACCTAATCGCATATATGAAGTTTGAATAACCAGAAAATCATTATTGAGCACACGATATGCGCGTCGGCATCAACATGCATCAACCATTTGTTCTGAGGCGGCTGCTTGTTTCAACATCTTTCCACTGCCCGTCTGCATTCAGGTCCGTCATGGAGATCTTGAGCGACAACAACGGCCAGATATATATACCAAGCCCATTGCTTGAACAATTAGGCAAGGAAACAAGATTGATACCAAGGCAGCTGAAAGAATTCTGGCTCCTTTTCTGAGGGCCAAGCCTGAGCAACCGGGAAATTCATGACTTCCTTGGACTTCCAACTAGCAACACGTGGTCCAGAACTGTTTGTTCAACAAAGACTCGGTAAGGCACTAGAGGAACACACATTTTAAAAAAGCAGAAAAGCTCTGTTGCTTGGAGTTTCTGCGCAAGACATAGCCGCACACCGTGCCTTACAGAAACTGGGGGCGAAACCCGCGAGCAAAAATGCCTAAACTCAAAATCCGAAACCCTTTAACAGCAGCTCGGATTCTGCGGCGGCGGCAGGGTCGTTCAAGAATGTGCTCATGAGCGTACTGATGTCATTCTTGCCCATGCGCTTCGTCGTGACCATGATCTGAGCGGGTCAAGAACCATAAGAGAAACATCAGCAGCAACCGCAGTAGCCCTTGCTTCACGGACAGTGATTTTGACCAAGCTGTGTATCTGGCCTTGCAGAGAGATAACTGCTGGGGTAGCATACCATTGTCCACGGCATTGCAAGGCCCCACAGTAGCAGAGGCTACGACAAAAACAAAGCCCGCCCCTTGCCCTGCCTGAAGCGTCGCCAACTTGTCAGTGCTGAGCCGGCGTCCAGTTGCTGCATGGAAGGTCATGGAGACCCTGCTCACCTCCTGACAGAATTTGAGATTAGTTGTTAGACCCCCACCAACACTTGGTCTGTTGAGCACATGCTCAATTTCCCGGCAAAAGGCTGTAGCTGAAGAACAAAGACGCCTGAAAGGGAATGTCCAGCAGGTCTGCCAAGGCAAGCCTGTCAGTCTGGCAGTGGCAAAATGCCAGGAAGGTACACAGTAGGGAGGTTCTTACTAGTTACTAGTTGGCTTCCTTGAAACCAAAACAAGTAATGGACGTACTGAAGGTTCTCCTTGCAGAGCAATCTGTTGCAAAATATGTGCAAGCAATGTAAATGGGAATTGACACTGCCGCCTGTTGTCGTGAAGACTCACGTTCTTCCACTCCTTCCAGCAAGCCTGCCATCAGGAAGGCATCTTAAAGTCTTAAGTTCAGGGATCCCCCAACCAAAAGAAGGAGGACAAAGCTTCAGGTGACGGAGCTCTCAAAATCTGGATCTCCGGCTGTGGCTCTCGCCCTTCTGGATCGGTGTTTCAAAGGCCGGCGCAACCCTCGCACCCACCCCACCGCCAATTTATCCCGGCTGGAGTTTGATGCTCCATGAAACATTCTTCTCAGCTATCAAAGAAACGAGTATCAAAGGGATGGGGGCTGAGAGGAAGGCAGACCCAGCCCTTTCAAGGCTACCCTAAGCCCTGCTGAAAACCAACTCTGGACACAGACCTCATTGCAGGTGGCCATGAGCTGCCAGACGCCGACAACGCTGGACTCCACGAACCGCTCGGGTCGCACGCCTGGGGATTCAGCGGCCCTTAGGGTTTGCGCAATGCGGGCTTAGAATGCCCCTGGTAATTATGGAAAAGGAATGTGGCACCTAGGCAATACCTTCTGCCTGCTCTTCTAGACCCTCTGCCTTCACTCAAAAGCCTCAAGAGTCCGAACTCATTCAGGTGGGACGCACTGCCCGTGCGAAACCTCCGCGCCAGCTCCGCAGGAGTTTGTACCTTCCAAGATAATTGGCATCAGGGTTTCAGTTAGTTGTTCTCGGTGATCCTTGTGGGTTCTTAGCACGATCCGCCAATGCGTCTGCACGCACAGGGCGGCACAAGCCACCTCTTGCTAGCTGACGGGTAAATAGCCTTGTTTGAGTCTTAAATCCCAGGTGTGCCAGCCAGAGGTGGTTGGGCTTCGGAACTTGTTCCTGAACATAAACAACCCTACATCGAACATACTCGCCAACTGCCACGTTGTGTAGGGAACAATCTGCGACGAAGTGGTCATAGAGCTGTCCATTCTCGAAGCACTGGTAGATTGGCGAGAACTCCAGAGCATCCTTAGGCATGGCGTGATGTTTACAGGTCAGTGGCAGCGTTCTGAATGCGCATTTGGAGGAAGCGGAGCAAGCAAAGGAATGGACACCGAGTAGCTGAAGTAGTACCAAGCTGATTGTCTGAGACCTGGAAATCACTTGAATCAGTTCTTTGTGCGTCTAGAAAATCACCCTTTGCCCTTGAACCCTGGCCTACTGAGGTAGAAGGTGCCTGCTGTTGCCGCCGCCGCCGGGATGGTGGCGGCGGCGGTTTCCATGTAACCAACCAAATCAACATCACAAAGCCCCGGCAAGATACTGTTGATGGAGGAAAACCGAGCACCGCGTTAAGTCCCTAAAGTCCTAGGAATTACAGCAGTTTTGGGCCCCTAGGTGGTGCAAGATTTCATCCATCAACAGTATAAGAACAAGAGCAACAACTGCTCTTAAACCTTACAGTACTGGCTATGCCTCCAAACAATGATCACAAATGAGAAATTTTGCAAGATCAAACTTTGACTCTCCATCTCTTTCTCATAATAGTGGAGGCCTGGTTGCAGGCTCCCCCAAACAGGAACTCGCAACTCCTACTTAAGGCAATGCCAGGCAGCCAGGTTCATCCGGTCCATGGTGTCCTCGATGAGCTGCTGGATCTGACCCGGAGCCAAGGTGGTGGTCGTGCCCCCCTGCAAGCAAGGTTCAAGGCACAGGCCTTCACAGAGAGGATTTAGGTACTAGCGCTTGACGATTTCTGGCACTTCTTGTGCTACTTACGTTATGATGGAGGTATCCTGAGTCCCATGAAGACAGTCATGGCCGATACTGATGCCATGAGGAACATACAGTGGCCATCATGATTGCTAGCATAACTCATGCCATGATCAGTATTACTAGGCAGGAAGGAGTGGGTCCATGAAGAAAAGTAATACAAGTGCCTAGATAGTCAGGACAAGGTTTTCGGCAGTTCATCTTACGGTGTAGACTGATTGTACACGGAAAACTCAGACATCTGAAGCCTCCTATATTCTGCAGACTCTTACTGTGCTTCTGACTCTCCACCACACCGAAGCCCAGAAGGGCGTCAGACCCTGCAAATGGTACGGGCCCATTAAGTTTGTTCCTGCTTCCATGGTCTAGGGTCCAACTTCAGGATCCCAGAGATCTATCGGCAGGTTGTAAAATTCATTTACCAAGGCATGTCATAGGAAGCTTATCAAAAAGCACTTGACGAGGAAACCATGGCTGCACCTTTTGGGGGTGGGACTGGATCAAAATCAGGGACGCCTTGTCTACAAAAAAAGTCTCCATTTTGAAGACCTAAACTGGACCCATGATTTTCAGAAGTGCCCTACCGCAACCTCTACAGGCTCCCAATCTTCCTGACAATTGCCATACGATGGCAGCAATTACGCATAAAAACCCAATGACGCCCCTAATCTTGAGAACAGTGCAGCAGGAGCGTCCGTATCAACCTCCAAAAGTCCTTCTCTTTCTTCTCCATACATCACCCGGCAAAGAGAACCTGGTTTGAAAACCCCCCCGGAAGAGTCTGGCGCACCCTTCTCCAGACCAGGACGCCAGCAATGCCAGGATCATCTTGGAGAGTAATGTGTCTGAAAGTTTAGGAGTTCAGGGTCAAAGGTTGGGGGGAATATCCCTTTATGACTCTTCTACAATCCCAACATGGTCCCTATAATAATCCTTATAATAACCCTTACATGAGTCTTATATCATCCTGTAAAAGGCCCTATGTAATTCCCATGTAATCCCTATATGCAGTCGTTTGCATTTCATGTTCCCTTTGCCTTTCCGTTTGATTCTCCATTATATATACTTTGATTTTTTTTGTGGGGGGGGGCCCTAGTCTTGAGAAATGCTCATGGCTCAAAAGTTTCAAAAGTTTGGGGTTCAAAGATTTGGGGCTTAGGAGTTCGGAATCTTAGAAGAAGGGCAATTACCTATCAAAAGTGGAAAGATTTGATGTGGATCATACTGAAGAGTATGTGCCAAGTTTGGGGTGCCCTTTCCTCTCGTGAAGCGCGTAGCCAATTTGAACAGGTCAGCCGAGTCCTCATTGCAACTGCTCACCAAAGCTGTTGTGCTTGTCAGCCCCAAGGTCGCAATACATACCGAAAACGGGGCCAGGGTTTTGAGAGAATCTAACCCTGAACCAACTACATCTCTCTTATGCCTATATCCTATACACACCCTCATACAACACCTGTCATTCTGAAAGAGCACCCAGGTTTCTTTATTTGGGACTTTGCCAAATTGCTGGTCCCAAATTAGGGGAGTCAAATTCTAAATTCTGGGGAGACATTTCAACTCAGGGGCTTGCCATGCCCTAAACGCAAACAAGCACTACAAATCCTATAGACCCTAAGCCTAAACCCTTGACCCCTAGAGCATCCATCCATCTCAGCCGGGAACCGACTTCGCCCGTCCCGGGCCGATCCGTCCAGGTGTGGTTCTTCACGTTCAAGATCTGAAGCGACGAGCCACCCTGAGGGGTTTGGGGTGTGGGATATAGGATTTGGAGTTCGTAGCTTACGGATAAGGCTAAGGGCTCAAAAGACCACATCAACAGAGAGCCCTCATCCTGTTGCAAGGGGACCTTATGCCCTTTTTCATGAATTTCGAAGGAAGCCTGTCTACAGTGCATTGAGGCCAGACTACATGAAATTTGCTATATCAAAACGTCTGAGCAGCATGAAGCATGAAACAGAAGACGCAAGCAACATGCCAAGTCCCTTCAGACCTCACCGGCGACAAGCTCGGCTCCATTCTTCACAAAGATGATGGCATCTTGAGTTGTGTGTGCGAAAGTGTCCTTGGGTAGCACGTGTTGGAAGTTCACTGGAAGAAATCCAGAATCCAACTGGATATTCCGCAAGCTTCTAGGTGGGGACCTATCTCCCGAAAACAAATTAGGAGAAATGCTCTAGGGATACCCAACAACAGCGGCTAAAGTTTGGAGAAACGCCCAATCTCCAACCAAGGCCCGGGCGTTGCTGCAGAGGCGCAGGTGAATGTGTGGCACTGAGATCCAGTGTGTGACGAAGTACGTGGCAGGATTCCTTGATTTGGAATGCACCATGCTTCAAAAAAGTTGTAAGATTTACGAGTGATTCCTTACAGTTCCTGTCATGTGGATCATGTTATGTTGGTGTACAAGCCACAGTCTCGTTGTTGGAAACTCCCACATTCACGAATAGTTTCGGGCTCCATTGGGGGCAGCTTCAACGTGAGGAAATGCATGGGCTTTCCCATGTCTATGGCTCGTAGAAGGCAGGATGCGGTCGTAGCAGCATCTCAACACACCCGCCAAAACCATAATGAAGTGCTTCCACATACCTGGCAACTTCTCAATATTGGGGGGAGCCTTTATACAAGGATCCATTGGAGAGAGCCACAATCCTTTTCACACATGCGAAATGCCCGCAGGACTTTCTGCATCCTTATACCTTTACCATCCCTAATGAAAACTAAAGCTCTGCACTCGGATGGTGACGTTCCCAGAGCCGCTCACCTGAAGCAGTTCTACTGATAAGCTGGTCCACGTTGTAGCGTGAAGGGGCTTAGTCAAATGCGTAACACCAAGACGGTTCAGCGAATGCCCGCAGATGCTCAACCATATGCAGCCCTGGGGAGCCCACGACAAGATTGCCGCCGTTGAAGCTTGGCTCTGTGAAGTTCGGATACGCCTGGTTCATGTCTCGGTACACGGCGCAGCCTGCTGCAAGCACGCGCTGCACAGCGTACTGTGAAGTTGTTGTAGCTTTGCAATACCATGCGGATGTCAGAACTTGTGTCCGGTCTGTTGCTGCCACCCCAAGCACAAAAAATATGGCAAGTCTTTTGCTGAGAGGGTTTCGGGTGCTTATGCGAATGGGCTAATAGAAGTACGCTAGCTTTGGACACAACTGACCCCACTTGCAACTAATTACCAACGAGAGTAAAGGAAAGCATTGCAGTTGCATACTTGTGCTGAGCTGGGGATGGAGAGTGGACCCCTCTAGTAACCGGATGCTCCCATCCTAACCCTTTAATGGTTCAGAAAACGCATTGCCTTGTTCCCAACTTATCTTAAGCATAATCGGAATAATCAGGATTGAGGTATGCTGCTGGCTAATAGCAAACTTTGAAAATCGGAGCTTGTGGTAGCAAACCACACGTCCTTGACTTCAGTTGGATTTCGTTGATCCGGACTGAATCCCAAGCTTTAAGGCCTGATGCTGTCGTGGGTTGCTTTGCGGAGTGTTCGCAACTCATTGGGAAAAGGATCCGCATGGTAAGCATCCACTAAAACATGGTAGTCTTGAGAAACGACCTTGCAAGATTGTAAGGAAATGGGACTGGCTGACCCAAACTCACTATCTTATGTGTTCTCACCTAACAAGTCGCGAGCATGCGAGCAAATATCTCAGTTGACAGCACACGAGAAATTGACTCCCACGATTGCGGATGCCCAAGAAGCTCCGGCCGAGAAGGGGGACCCCCCTGAAACCTCAGCCCTAAAACCCAAGCCCCTCGCAAATTCTAAAGTCTCAGCACCGAAGGCTAAAACCCAAACCCTCAAGCCCTGCATGACGCTTGGCCCTGTCTGAGCCTTCGAGGTTTTCATGGGGATTCCAAGCTGTCTGGGACTTCTGCGGAGCCTCGGAGGCAGGAGGTCTGAAGCTCGACGGAAGATATCTTTTTTCAGCCACTCTTCCTCCATCCAGCACACGGTGCATGTACAAGTAGGACAGGACACTAAAGTTTGTAGGATGTGTAAGGACGATTTCTGCAGAGTGTTGTAGGTGATGGCAGCGCGCAAATAATCAGAACAAGAGCCTGTGTTTTTTTTCAAGGATTCTGCACGGGACTGAGAAGCGGTCCAGATACTTGGAATAGCTGGGTTTCAACGTGATTGTACTAAATGCGGCAGGAATGTTTCAGCATACTTGTTGGACTTCCGTCCTTCGGTACATGCGGATCTTGTGGGGTCCATTGTGGCCAACAGCGATCTATGATGCCACCATGAAGAGGAACACTTTTAAACATCTGCCCAGAGGGAAATGTGCGTTTCTCAATTTTGGAAGCCACTGTCCTTAGCACAAGGGTCATGATTTTTCAAGTTTGGGAGTCTATACAACGCGCGCGAATTCTGAAAATGATGGTCTCCGAGCATGACTAACCAAAGCAGCTTAGGTCCACGCCCACCATGCCAAGTGCACCGGATTGTCCGGTGTTGACGGGGTGAGGTTTCCCAGCGTGATCTCCAGATCATACCTAGGAAATGCAGGTCCAAAGCACTGCGGATCATATACGGGTTGTAAATCTGTCAAATCAGAAATGCCATATGTCAGTGAATACATGCCTGCCGTTTCGTGGCTAAACAGCAACCTTGCCCTCCATAGCAGCTACTTATTCGCAAAAAACGACATCCGGACCAGCAACTCAGCCTCCACTCAAGACCGGAACCAAGAAGGTGACTGTCTCATCCCCACATCGTGAAGCTTTCAAAAGCAGCCCTGGCCGCTTATATACTCTCCCATAACAGGGTTGATGTACTTCTAGACAATACTGCATGCATACTCTAAAAATTCCCTTATACTCCCGTATGAGACTGCACTCAGAAAACTGCCCGTATGCTACTCAAAACGCATTGCAACGAAGCTGCGTCTCAGGACCTGCTGAGACACGGTCACCTGAAAAGCATCCACTCCCACGGCAAAAGCTCATGCAAAAAAAGGTCCTAAAAAACGTGCGCCACTTCTGGGTGCCCATATCACACAGTGTGGGGGGGGGGTTTGTAATGGTGCCTATGGGTGGACAAACCATGCAAGAAATAAGAAAGAAACATCTTCGCAGTTGTACTTCCGGGCCTAGGCTTCCTGCGCTGTGAGACTATCCTTGTCCAACAGGACTCCAAATCAGCTACTGAAAGGCTATCATCAGGATATGATAGATTCAAAGAACCCAATAGCCTCGTGAAGTTGATACATCTCAAAATGTCAGACGCGTTGCAGCCCCGAAGCGCTGGATTGCCTCTCTCTTTGGGCCGGATTTCCGATTTTTATGCACATATGCATGTCCATAATCTGCTGCCAACTCGCTGCACTTGTACTCTGAATTCAGCTCGCAGCCGCTCACCTCACAAGCAGCGGCTGCAAATGTACGGGTCAACATGCGGCATGCAACTCCTTGAAACATCACTTCCCCCCTTAAATCGCCTCCGCCTCAGAATTGAGCCGCGGGCCTTCTGATGGGGATAATAACAAATTCTTCAGGGCTGGCTTATGCGCTTGCGGCAAGCCTTGGCATCCCAGCGATCACATCGGCCCCAGATGTGCTTCTCCTTGGAAGTCCCATGTTTTGGGCCAGCTCCCCAAGCTACATGGGACCAGATGGGCGAGTACAGAGCAGAGAACTTCTTCAAGGCTCGGGAGTTTCAGAGTCCAATTCAGAGGGCGTTGAAGGGGATTATAGGCTTCCACAATGGCTTCCAGCACCACTGCAGATACTCTTCAAGACTACTCGTATCGAAACGGTCAATAAGCGCAAACGCGGCAAGCGACTTCCCCAAGCCGTTCCCCTTCCATAATTTTACGAAAGCCAATGCTTCAAGCCGCTGACTGAGCCTCAACAGACTAAGAGCCTGGATTTAAGGATCCTCCAAGCAAGGTGACTCAAATTTTGGCGCTTGCCGTTCTTGTCGTTGATCAAGCGTCTCGTGCTGCGATGTCCCACAGTCTTCGGCTGCCACGCATCTGCTCTCCATTCGAACCTCTCAAGATTTCTTCAACGTCTGAGCAACTCTGACACAAGCGAGCAGCGTTCTCTGACCTCTCACTTTCAAGGAGGATCCTTGGGCCCACCGCTTGAGAAACATTGTCCTGGAGTAGTGCCTAACCGCAAGCGCCTTCTCCCCTGAAAACCCTGGCCTTGTGGTGAATGAGCAGACGCGCCCCCGAATAAGCTGAGAGTCAGCAGCACCTGAGTCAAAGGCATCATTCTCCCCAACAGCGCACCAGCCAGTTCTGGCATGTTCCGGTCTATGGATACTGTTCCTGGCTGATCTTTGCTGGTCCCAATCACGGAGGACATGGCTCCTTCTGTAGGTCCTTGTTGAAGGGATCTACCATTTTTCTGGCTCGTTGAAAGGAACCCTTTTTGTGAAATGTCCTCTCGTGCAATTTCCGAAGTCACTCACGACAAAATGCATACACTCCCTCATACGGCCCTAAAAGGGTGATGAATCTCAGGCCAGCACTTTAAATCCCGCCATTTCACTGGCTGTGAGAGCTGTGTACAAGGCTTTTGTAGCCGAGCCCTTGCAGGCCCTTCTAAATCTTGTGTCTTTTCTGCCACTACTCTGGGCCTTCAGGCGCGGATGCGACGGACAACCTCACTAACGCTCACTTCTGTCAATGACATCCCCTATGATTCATAAGCATCTTCCGAAGGGCAGGTCGTGCCCCCGTTTGAATATTTGTCAGGACTTAGCTCCCTGTGCATACCCCTGAAGCAGCTTGGTCTGAGTTGCAAGGAACAATCCTAACCCACAAGGCACCCATAGAAGGACTTGGTCGCATTGCCTGAGAGGCCCAAGAAAGCCACGTCAGTGTACGGACCATACAGTTACGGTAGGATCCTTGTCCTTTGGTGCTGTTGGGGGCCGCTATGTCTTGGAGCTCTCTGTGGCAGGCAGATGCCAAAGGCGGCTCTGGGATTCAGTCGAAAATAGGGGCCCCGGTGCTGGCGTGCGTCCCCTTAATATTGGCCCAAAAAACCTTTCAAAATGCAAAGCGCCCCCCATATCACGATGCATGTACACACTACACAGCCCCTTTCATCCTAAAAACCATGCCACTTTGCGCCGTCCCTTAGGTGGACGTTGGCGCCGCATGCTCTGTCGAGCCGACCTTTGCAAACACTCTCAGGAAGAGTAAAAGGCATGTGGAAGAAGATCGTTCCCTCAGATCCTTACATTACACCAAAGAGATAATGCACACGCCAAAATCTTTACTTTCATTCAATACACTCAAGGCAGTCTTGTCACGTGATCTTGGCTCACTCATGTCCATGCAGCAATCTCTTCATCTCATCAGCCCTATCCATCGCGAAAGGACATTGGGCTCGCTTCATTTACCAGCACTCACGGCTTCTTCAAAAAAGGGGGCGACCTTCAAATGCTGGGCATATGGTGAAGGGAGAATCCCTGCCTCCCAGTCAAAGCCGCTCCAGCTGGTTCTCCAGTCCTTTTCAAGGATAAGGTCACTTTACTGTCACTTTTGCTGGGGCTGGGGATTATGGAGAGCTGCAGTGGATGATAGAGTATAGAGCTTCATGAGGATTGTGCAAAGTCGTATGAGCAATGTAAGGGTATCACGGGGTTGAGAGACAAGGATGCCTAATGGTGGATTCCCTGAAAAAAGACCATACCGCCGGCACATACCCCGATGAGTGTGGTTGGGAAACAGGCACGCAAGTGCCTCCTACTAACAGCAAACTTTGCATTGTTTTGGTGCAGCTCAGCGCTCTCTTCGCTGCTACATGTACAGAATTCCAGGTGGAACGAGCTCGAGCAGTTCGTTCCACTTGCCAGCGAATCTGATCTGAAGACCCTCCTCACCATCAGCCTCGCTCATAGCAATCATCTGCCCCGCGTCCGGATGCCTGGAGCAAAGTTGGGCTATAATTCAATCACAATGTCAACTGGCAACTCATATCATGTAGCTCCCATTAGTCCTTCAAACGAGAATATACTGCCAACAATGATCCAGCTGCTCGTAGTGTGTCTGGCGAACCGCTGCTCTGAAACTAAGGCCATTCCAGATACGGTGAAGCTCAGCCACGCCTTTGGTGTGGATCTGCAAGATCTCAAAAGCTACAAGGATTGGACTCCACCACTCCCCAGAAGGCAAGGCCATCATGGCATATCTGCAGGAATCTTTCCACATGGCGTCCGTAGAAAGGATCTTACCCGCCAAGGGCACGCGGAAGAAAGCCGGAAAGGCTCTCTTCAAAGCCATGTGAACCCAGGACCCAAAGAGCTGCATAGACTGCTCGAAAGACATGTCGTTCACCTAAGTCATGAAGAGGGTCATAGTAAGTAGTTGACCTATTACTTACCATGCTTGGGTTGTGCATATGTCGTTGAACTCAAATGATTTCCAACACTGCCCCAGTTGCATCCATTTCATTTTGGAGATTTCGTTGGCTCATGGTGAAGCTTCGGCAAGTCTTGGTTGCCCCTATCCAGCTCTTGCCAGTCAGGCATTCACCTCCAAAGCTAATCCATGAACAGTGAACTTCAATCCTACACCCTTTAGACCGTGAATCCCTAACCTGGGATCTCCTAAGCTCTAAAGCTCTACACCTGTTCGCCTCCCCAGGGTTTGAACGGCATCTGAGGGAAGTTGTCCAATTCTTCATCATCCTCCTTGTCCACACCTGGGGGCATGTCGAAACGGTTTCCATCTTTTGAAGGGATTCTGGCCACTGTTTCATTTACCCACCTGCAGCTGCACGCTCCTCCTGATCCCATGCATCCACTTCTGCATTCATGTCCATCTTCACTTTGATGGCCAAGCCGGGACCCCAACCATCTGGATCATCTTGGCCATACAGTGCTCTCGTTGCGAAGCTTGATGCGTTGATGTCCATGTTCAAGTTCTCTTCCACGGCTAACTCCAAAAGGCCCCTACGAGTGTCCTCAAAGTCGTCCGCAAAGCCCAACTCTCTCATTCCGTCAAAGGCTCCATTCACGAAATCCGTCAAGCCTCACTTGCCAAGGGTCACTAATCAGTGCAGGCTAGGCCCTGCTGAGCGACGTTTGCATGCAGAACAACAGGCCTTGACGCGTTGTCTCGAGGGCGAGCTCCTGGGTCGTCACGTCGAGATCAATTTTCGGATCCAGAGGATCTCCATCCTCGTACCTGAGACCCAGTTTCGCCGGCTCGGTAAATGGAGCTTTTCCCTTGAACCAAAAAAATAGCCATAAGCTCCACAAAAACATCCCCACGGATCCTCAGCACCGACCAAGATACACATGGAGCTTCACCATCAAGTCCACAAGAAAGCCGTGGTCCTCGCTCCCTACCAGGTCCAACAAAAGAGACGGGAGCACTTCGTTGGCCAAGTTCGCCACAAAGCGGAAGATCAAAGCAGAGGCGATCTGCTGAAACGCCTTCAAGGTCAACGCTCCCCGGCAGCAATTTAGAGGAGAAAGGTCCCCTGAATCTCCATAGCATCCCCCTGATAACAACTGGGCCTGGCAAGTTTCAACACCAAAGTGTGATCGCGAGACTCCCACCCGAAGAACAAACTTCGTTAGATCTCAGATATCCCAAACCTTGGTGTTCATGGCACCCGTCCGGCTGAGCAGATTCCTTGGTTGAGCCATAGGTGTTTCAAATCAATATACACAGGACGGGACAGGAATGAGGAATCATGGGTGGGTGAATAAGCCAACCCCAACAACAGCACCAGGTCACAGACGTGCAAAAAAGTGTTTCCAAGCATGCCTATGCCTGCTGAATCTGTGCTTAATCTTTTCAACCGTGGGCTTCTCTGCACATGTTGTGTTCTGTTCAGGCTCCCCTATGATAAGGACCCCAATTCTTTGAATTCTTTGCCGGGTACATCCGAAATTGTTCAGAACTGCCAAAAAGAAGGCAAAAAGCTGCCTAGGATGTCCAAGTGTCGTAATGCGAGAAACAGTTCCACTCCAGTATGTACCGTTCCCACGGACCTCTTGGAGGACAAACCTATATGAAGGATGAAAACGATGCCAACTGCACTACCAGGAAGAACACGCGTACAGAGCAACCACAAGAAGCTTGTTGTCAGCGCTATAATCTCTAGGGATGTGAGGTTTGGGGTGGGCTTGAGGGCCTTTTCAGCTTAGCACTACATGTTTGGAATCCTTGTGACATACAGTACAGGGAACCGAAGAAAATGATAGACAGAGGGATAGAAAGTGACAAGCGGGGCACCGTAGCAAAACTCAACAGGCATCCTTTCGTTCTTGCGGTTCTCCAAAGTATTGGCATTTTCGGACTCTCATGCCTTCAACTTCTTGAACGCAAGATTCACCTGGCGGCTCGCACTGGGAAACTTCAAGAAGGTGTGGTTGCTCTCCTTGACGACTTCGGCAGTCAAAGACAACAAGGGGAGGTCGGAGCGCTTTGAGGTGGCCTTGAACAGGGTGCTTTGCGGAAAAAGTCTCGTGCCATTTAGAGGATCCTCTGATAGTCCACGAAAAACACCCTGGCCTTGAAGGAAACGTTTCTGAACGACGTGATTGGGACGCCTGGAAGTAACATCTTAACACCCAGCAAGGTTCCTGAGCCAGTCAAATAAGTCCAGGAGTGAAATGGGAATTCAGGCGTGGTAGGGTTTAAGGAGCAGTCATTGGCGTTTACCGAGTTTGCGGTTTTGGGATTAGGGTCGCTGCGGGCCTGACATTTGCCTCATGACCCTTATGTGGAAGCCCATGCCCCCAATGCTTAATGCCTTGCTAAAGCAAATGGGAAGCAGGAATTACGAAGAATGTCCTTTGCTCCTTCCAATTCTGAAGTTGTCTACTTGAGCATGGCTATCACTGCAACTCAGCCACCTTCCAGCACTGTACTGGGCATCACCGACACCTCTATCTTCGGCTGCCCAACGCTTTTCCTGAGGATCACATTGATGTTGCCAAGCATCTTCTCAATACCTCGGCTTTTTTTGGCACGTCTATGTGGGCTTCTCAGGTGGCTACCCTACATAATGAGGTGCAGGATCTGGAGCATGAACACGGCCCTTGTTGGAAACTATCTGTATCGCTCTTTGAAAAGCTTGGTGCTCGTTTCAAGCGTCCCTTTAACGTTCTTAAACAACAGAGACTGAAACCATCCCCCAAAAAAGAACACTCACCTAGACGGGCATTTCAAAAAATGGGGGTCACTTTGCATAACCCAAATGCCTGTGATCCTTGTCTGGTGACCCCTAGAAGAACACCCTGATTTATGAAAGCCCCAGGTCTGGATGCCTTGCATTGCCACAAGTGCCTCGCCAGGCAGGTGGGACCACCTCGGCTAATGAAGCGGGCACTACGAGCCAGGAGGGGTCTGGCCCCGAAAACACAGACAAATTTCCCTCCCCCACACCCCCTTAGTACAGATCAACAGAGCGGGGTTCTAAGACAAAAGCTTGGGAAAGCTTTCGTAGCTTCTGAGTCTACACTAGCCGTGGACCAAGATCTGCATGGCCCTCTGATAGCCAGCCGGACCAACTGTTTACAATTCGTAGTCAACGAGGTAATTGATCCTGGAGTAGGCCCTGCGCAAAATCTCCCAGTAATTCAATCCGCGTACCTGCTAAGCACCAAGGACTGAAACTCGAAGCCCTCCATTCAAAACCCTAACCTTTCAGCTCTGAACTCAACACACCAAGCCCTGCAATCAGCCCAACACCCCAGTCAAAGCCCCAGTCATTGAACCCCCAAACACCTGAATCCAGTTAGCCTAAACCATGCACCTGAACCCTGAACTGGCTAACACAGTTAACAGAACAGGGAGACCATGTTAGTCATTCTGCATCCATACTGTGGCAACTTGATTGTACTGCCTATACGACCGTAGTTTCCTATCTTACTGTCCATCCTCTCCTCCATTTGATTCTGCATTATTGTGGCATCTTAATTCAAAACCCTGTTTTTAACTCCCATAGCCCTTGTATACCCTATAAAATATAAACCCCATATAACCCCAATATTATAGTAGTTTCCACTTTATTTTCCATTATCCCAATATTACCAATATATACCCTAATGTTTCCTCTGGGGCTCCCTGCACCTTTGACAGATCCAGGTTGATCTTCAGCAAAGCAGGCTCTGGTGCAAAGGCTTTCACCTGCTGGCAGCTCCTTAGTTGAAGATATCCAGAGTGTAGAGCTTAAGGGTTTTGGGGCTGGAGGCGCTAGGGCTTCTATAAGGCATGGGGCTTTGGGATGTGGAGCTGAGGGCTTCAGATTTTCAAGTTTGGGGTCGAGGGTTGAGCCATATAAGGCTTGCCCATCATGTTTGACAATCCATCCGCACAATGGAAAAGAGCTCAGGGCATGCGTTGGTGCAGCCGTCAGGATTCCAGGCTTAGCGACTTAGGAATTTACGGCTTCGGCTAAAGATGTGGGAGCTTTGGCAATGTTTTGAAGCATGCTGCACAAATACTTCCGCCGACAAAGGAAAAGCATTGAGAAACCACTGAAGATTGACACTGATTGCTCCGAGCTTCTCTGACTCATGCCAGTGTATTGTCCTTGGGCCTTCATCGACTTTCTTCTCATCGTCTTCTCTCACTCTTACAGAGGACAGGAGGGAAGCGCACAGGAAAAGCGGGATGAAACGCATGGCTTTGGCAAACTAGTGCACGAACTCTCAACCTGGAACCGTCAGCGCCAAGAGCATCATGAAGCGGTGTCTCCAGGCATGCTTCTTCAAGGCTTACACGTGGCTCTTGATGATAAAGCCCAGCCATGTTCGGGTCCCAGTGTCTTCATGGCACAGCAGCCACAACTTCTGACATGTTGTTCATAATTAGCCCAACACACCCTCCCCAAGTGGCAGATAAGTACGCAGCCAATCCCTACACCCCGAGACGAAAACCAAGTCTGCAGTCCTGTTCTCGAATTTTGGAGCCAGACTGGGAAGCCTTGCCAGGATTTAGCGTTCTGGATTTAGGGTTTCGGGTAGTGCTTCAGAATTGAAGGTTGAGAAGCCTGTCTCTCTGCAGAAGCACAAGACCCATGGTCATCTGCCCTTCAGGAATTTCATGCTGGGAGATCGTCAGAGGGGCATAATGAAGCGTCCTAACCTCCAACGGAGGAAGACTGGGAAATTCCAGAGCTTGAGAAGAGAAAGCGGAGGTCCTTGTTTGAGACGGTTCGTGATGATGTTGAGGAGCAAGCATGTTGAAGCTTCTCGGATCGAGCTCCCGACACTCTGTACGTCGATCGGTGGCGTTGCACCTACAGCACATCGTGGCTCATAATGTTTTCTCTCATTCACTACTTACTTAGGACCAGATGAGAGACCCCTTTCACCCTTTGTAGTTCCACAGCACGCATCCCCTGAAGACACCTACGTAGCAACTCTTGAACCTGAATGACTCGTCGCTTGAGATGCTGCCCACAACAGGTCTGGGTTGCTTGCCAATTCTCACAATTCGGACCTGAGAGCACCGAGCTTCAATCCTCTAGCTTCCCCGTGCCCATGGTGCACCCAGAGAGATGTAGGGGTTGTAAGTGGATCATGGATGTCCGTTTGAATGATCATACATACCCCCATACGGAAACTTCTGGGTATAAGGTTTAGGAATTAGGTCTTGGGGGGTTGGGGATTCTGGGTTTAGAGGTGTAGGGGTTTAGGAGTTTGGGGTCTCTCGGGCTTGGAGCTTTCTAAGGTTTGCCCCATCTGCTCTGAAGTACGCAGGACTCCACACACTATCCCCAACAAAACCGGCTACATTCCATCGTACGGCACCTAGTATTCTGAGCTGCCAGAATGGCGGATTTGGAGAAAGTACCCAGGTAGTTCTCGTAAAGGACCTAGAATCTAACAGTAGAGCCCACAAGCCAGAAGAACCCTTCAGAAATCTGATCGCCACCAGGGTGCGCGGTACGCACCCTCGTCACGGAAAGCGAGGCATGGAGTAAGGCGGCGGCCCTGGCGGGCTCTCAAATGTATGAACCCTTTCTTGGAGGTCATAGCACATGGGTGGGCGTTGTAACATCTTTGGGTTTCTAAGCTGAAAGGTGCGTCTTCGGCGCCACCACGGCACTGAAATCAACAGCACATCCATAAATCTAGCATGGCTGGGCTCTTTAACACTCATGTCCTCATCCAGGAGGTTTCTGCTAGAGCCTCACGTCTCACAGTCTGAACTCCCAAGCCTGCATGGAGGCTTCAAAGCCAACAGACGACGGAGCATAATGCACTGGCATCAGCATTGCTTCGAAAGGCACTGCCATCATTTGCCAAGAAGGCGGGAGCTTGTCAAAGTTTAAAGTTATATATGCATCCCAACAGATGGATGTACAGCAGGAGTTTCCAAATCGAACAAAAGACAACCCGACCCTGCCCACCCATGTTCCAGCTTTGTGGTCCTCAACTATACTCCTAACTACCTGTTGTGAATGTCCTTCCGACACTTCTGTGGCACCCCCCTACATGAAGCTGCCTCCGCCCAGTCCAAGTCAGAGACAAAGCCCGTTGTCTCCCAAGGACCCGTCTCGGTCCGTTCTGCAGGCAAGGGATCTGAAGTACCAGGACTACCATGTGGGAACAACTTGGGTTTCCAAAGATCTCACAGAAATTTTTTGGGG